GGTCACGGGGGGACAAACTCAAGGGCCGCCCCGGGCGGCACACACTCTAGCTACGCCACTGGGGCACATGTAAGATGAGTGGGTGGGTAAGTACCGGGGTGGGTAAGAACCGGGGTGGGTACAGTGGGAATCCTCCTCACATACTAGGAGTTATTGTCCTCTGGATCAGCTGGACTTACTTGTCAAACACCTTGTTGTGACCCACACTGATTGTGCTCCCGCAGTTCTACCTAGACTAAAATCTAAAGTGTAGCTCGGTACAGTACGTGGCGCTGCTCAACAGGACACTTTGCAATTGCATATCCTCCGTCAAAGGAATATTGGAATTATTCTAAAACGTCATTATAAAGGGGTTTATTCGCCCATTTAAATATTTCGAAAATTCTAGAACAAATTCATCCTTCTTGGAAAGTATAAGTGTGGGTACAACGTTTCAAAACAGTCCACTCAGTTATCCAGATTTTTCTTTCAATGCAGACACAAAGACATACTATTTCTATATCCCTAGACGGTGGCAAAACCCGGAGGAGGGATCACACAGGTATAGAGCAAGGTGTGGTGCCCTACCTCAGACAGTGTCCAGCCATCTAGGGCGCACACACACAATGGATCTGGCTAGAAGACCATCCCCCCCAGTCATGCAGCTTGTCTACCTCCTGCTCTCTCAGTGGGTTGTCATAATACATGCACCAACATAAAACAGTGAGGACTTCCGTTAACTTGTTCCATATTCAATTCGTGGGTCAGGCTGCTAACGGGTTCAGTGTTCTGGTCATCTGTTGCCATTGCCCCGTGTTGTCACTTTACCTAAATTAAAACTTGTGACGAAAGATACATTTAATATTATGTCCTTTTAAGTTTTGGCATCATAAACCTCAGTTTATATCACCCCAGCTCTACAAGTGGCTAACACGACACCAAGAATGTCAAACAGAATAATTGTAACTCGTGGTCGGGGAACTAAACTAAATACAATAACTCAACCGGAAACACGGGACGGCCACACAGCTACCTGATCCCTTGGTACCTCTCAGCAGCGTTTGCGTGACCTTAACACGGGTGGAGTTAGGTTCACATGTGATCTAGGTGCTGGAGTTACACAACACTGAGAGGTATAGTGTAAACAGCACCTGATATATACTTCATACATCTATTCCTCGGTCCTCCCCTCTCTGGGGTTTAGGAGCAGCCCGGGACACCTCCAGGGACTCAGTGACGGTGGTGGGCTGGTTACTGTTATACACCCCTGAATACACTACATAGCACTTTACGAAGTCTTTATGCACATACTGTACAGGCAAAAATACACGCACATTATGAACGTCAGAAGATGCATATACGCTGCGAAATACACAAACGCACACACACTCTCCACGACCTCATCTGCAAATTTGGCGAGAAGCTACTGCACCATCCTCGACCCGAGATCCCTCGTCCGCGAATTGCTGTTCGACACCACAACCAGCTCATACGAGCATGTACTCGCTATAAGAACAGCCTAGTCCCAACCACTGTAAAAATTATCAACAACTCGTAATCAATCAGTGTGTTCACTCCCCGTCAATCTTACGTTTTTGCACTGTTACTATGTTGAAATGTCCTGTAGTATGACCTTCTCCTCACCTTGTTTTTATATATCATATTTGTATCACTTAAGTTACTTGTATGCTATTTGCCAATCAAGTGACCCATATCCCAATTGTGTAACTATATTTTCAGCCTTTCGGTTGTAATGCTCTTTCAATAAACCGATAATATAATTATTATTTTACACACACGCATGCCCTGCACAGAAGCCGCACCACACGCATACACGCTCATATTCTGTGTTCGCCAGAATAAACAGTACACCCATCAGTGTTAGTATAGTAAGCGTTCTTCACGGCAAACTGATCAAAAGGTCCCTGGTTACAATATGCCCCAGCCTTACCTAAATTAATGTACGGTAACCTAACAACATAGCTGCCGTAACTTGTAGTAATGTTCCCTAACTTATCCTAAGTATTAAGAATGTGGCTCAGTCTTAATGGAACCAAATTCTAGGTTATATTAGGTTGGGGGTCAATGACGACTGGGGTCCACTGGAGTCTGGTAGTACGACAGATGAAAACCGCAATATAGAGAGAATAGGGAGAGGTGGGTGAGGGAGGGCTGGGTGGTGGTATGCCCTGGAACACCTGAGGGTCGTGGCTCATGCTATGGCGCCTCTCAAGTGTCAGGACCGAGGGAGGAGTATTGATCGCTCTCGTTTACCGCGGCCACCCACAAGCACACACGTTAAATGTCACCGCCGCTCTTACTGTATCTACGCCGCCCTGCCCAGTGTTCGCTGTGAGGACGTTCACCAACTGCTAGAGTGGCGCGTCATCACACTTGTTGGGGTGGCGCGTCATCACACTTGTTGGGGTGGCGCGTCATCACACTTGTTGGGGTGGCGCGTCATCACACTTGTTGGGGGTGGCGCGTCATCACACTTGTTGGGGGTGGCGCGTTATCACACTTGTTGACTCACCTCAACACTTGCCGGGGTGAGGAAACCACAACTGCACACTAGCGTGGGAAGGAAAGTCAGCTTCACCACCAACACACTCGGGGTGACGGTGGGAGGGGTGTGTGAGGGCGAGTGTGACCGTGTAAGTGGTGGTGTGGGGTGTGGTGTGGAAGAAGGTGTGGAGGGGTATAGACGAAGATATGGGAAGTGTGGACGAAGATATGGGAGGTGTGGACGAAGATATGGGAGGTGTGGACGAAGATATGGGAGGTGTGGACGAAGATATGGGAATGGATGCTGGTATGAGGGGTATTTAGTACAACAAAAGCCTCTTGCCCGACAACTAATCAAGGTGCCATTCTCAAGTCTGGCTGGGGTTTGGTGCCCCTAGATGGCTCCCCACTCCAAACGTTTCTAAGCTCTCTCTTACCAATGGCACTCCCAGATTTTACTTTACTCCACGAACACAAAACTAACTAGCTAACTAACTCATCAACTCACCCATTCACTCTCTAACTCACTCACTGGCAGAGGGAATGATCACAAACGTTTCCAGATCAGCTAAGGTTATAAGGTCCGGTTATTAAAGGATTCTTGTTAACAGATGACGTAGCGACCCAGATATTCGATGAATCTCTCAAGTAAGAGGGGAGGAGGTGAGAGGAGGAATTCAAAACGACTCTGAATTCTTGTTTGCGTGCGTGCGTGTGTGCGTGTGTGTGTCAGTGTTGAGGAGCGGGGGAAGGGGGGGGTCAAGACTGTCAAAATGGGAGCTACACCATAATCGCAGTTAACAAGAGAGAGAGAGAGAGAGAGAGAGAGAGAGAGAGAGAGAGAGAGAGAGAGACAGACAGAGACAGAGAGAGAGAGAGAGACGTTCAATTACTACCGACCTCACTCACTACACCTTGTACCACCCTACTGACATTTCTTATGACCAGGTACACCCCACCCCCTCTTATTGATCACACTACGACACATTCCTCCCTCTTACTAACCACACTACCACATTCTCCTCCCTTCTTACTAACCACACCACCACATTCTCCTCCCTCTTACTGATCACACTACCACACATTCCTCCCTCTTACTAACCACACCACCACATTCTCCTCCCTCTTACTGGCCACACACACACACACACACACACTTTCTCACGGAGAGAGGGGTGACCAACACAAGCAACCACACACACCTGGTTCAACAAAGTGGTGCGGGGACGTTGAAGCATTCAGCTATCGACGACCACACAGCCACAAGTCGCTCAGCCCGACAGGGAGAAGTGGCGCCAAGGGTTTGCATAATTAACAACAGTATTCAATCTGGGTGAAACACGGGGCAATAAAGCACCGCAACACACTGAAGGAATAACATTGTTTAAGGATGCCCCTGTTAGCTTGGAGTTAATGTTGGTGGAGGAGGAGCTGGTGGTGGAGAAGAATGCTGTGGAGGAAGAGTGGTGGCGAGGAAGGTGGTGGTGAAGGGTATGGACGAAGGTAGTAGTGGTGGTGATGAAGAAGGGTGTGGAGAAGGAAAGAGGAGGAGAAGGAAGAAGGGTATGGAGAAGGAAAGAGGAAAGAGAAGGAAGAAGGGTATGGAGAAGGAAAGTGGAGGAGAAGGAAGAAGGGTATGGAGAAAAATATACAAATAAAAGTAAACGGGGTGTAACTTGACAAGAACGGGGGGATAGACGCGATCCACACACTCACGCTGCACCCTTAACCCAGGACAAGTGCCAAGAGAAAGAAAAATGTTTTGAAATGTGTAGAACAATACGTAAATACTTGTTACTGGGGCTTAAGTGAGAGTTAACACATGCCAATGGGTTATGGAGAGAGATCCTTTGGTGTTCACAACAAATAGTGCTACAACTCTATGCTATGGGGTTTCAAAATGACGATACCTGACAGGCTACAGTATATATCTACATAGAATTAAACATAAGGTTACAGTATATCAAGGTTACAGTATATCAAGGACCCATGTATCTAGACAGTGGAGCTTAGGATACAGGTGAGGAGAGAGAGATACGTGCACTACAAAATCAGCAAGACTCTTCAACGACACAGTGGGGGGAGGGAAGACAATTTGATGAATGGCGCTGTTATACTGACGTCAAGGATGTAATCAGTGATGTAGCGATGATGGATCACAAGGGGGCAGGGGAAATAAAACATCAGTATCCAGAGAAATTAAGGGGTTACACAAGGACCCAGACACACACAAAAAAAAGAAAAAAAAAAGAAAAAAAGATTCACACTTAACGCCGGTGGATTTCAAAAAAAGATAAATTCTCTCATCATCACAAACAACAGATTACTTTACTAATAACAATGACTTATTTTTTTTTAAACTTACACCTGTACTAACGAGATAGATTCGCTGTATATCCTAACTTATCCACCATCACCAGTGTCCACCTCTACCACCATAAACAAACTACCCCGAATTATACCTACACCACCCACCCAACACACCTATAATTACCACACTATAACCTCACACTTACGGAAGAGTTGAGGTAAAGCCCCAATAGCAGCTATAATTGTCGCCTGGGGGCCGGTCCCTGGACGACACTCCTATGGGTGGGGGAAGAGAGAGTTAGAATGTAAATCTGAAGTTATGTTTTCCAGCGAGGTGAATGGAAAGGAGAGAGGGACCAACGCACGCACGCAAGCGAGCACGCACTCTCTCTCTCACGCAAGCAAGCGAGCACGCTCTCTCTCACGCACGCAAGCGAGCACGCTCTCTCTCTCTCTCTCTCTCTCTCTCTCTCTCTCTCTCTCTCTCTCTCTCTCTCGTGTAAACAATGTGGCTGTTTATTCATGGTTGTGTGTGTGCTTGCAGGAGAGGGTGGTAAACTTGTAAAGGGTGTTGTGGTGGTGATGAGGTGTGGTGGTGATGAGGTGTGCTGGTGATGAGGTGTGCTGGTGATGAGGTGTGCTGGTGATGAGGTGTGCTGGTGAAGAGGTGTGCTGGTGATGTAGTACTAAGCAAGCGTTTCCCTCACCACAACACAGACAGGTGGCGTTGCTCATCCCCCCCTCCCGCCTCCCCTCCGTCACACACACATCAACACGTCCCCGTCCTCATTATGTACTGGGGTAATGACCACGACTGAGTACACTGTGTGAGAGAGAGATTCAAAGCACACGAATAGAAGGGTGTGCTGGCTGAAGTATAGGTTAGAGAACATAGCGTTTTGCGAAAGTTAAAATTTAAGTTATAAATTCTGGGTAAATTATAAAAGTTCATTATGGACAAGTCACTTAAAATCTTACAAAAAAAATAGAGGAGGAGAGATATTAAGAGAATGAGAGAGAGAGAGAGAGAGAGAGAGAGAGAGAGAGAGAGAGAGAGAGAGTGTGTGTGTGTGTGTGTGTGTGTGTGTGTCCCCCATCCCACATCATGAGTACAATTTCAAACATGAGATGAGAGCCTGGGGGGAGTTAATCTTCAAGGAATCCAAAAATTTTCACGAACGAAAAACATAAATCCTGATTTCTGGTAATGAGATGACCGCATGTGTTATTTATATACATCCTCCTAACACAAGATACATAGCGTTATCTAGCCTATAGATCTATGCTGCTTCAATCACCATACATTACCTCAGTCTTGGGGTTCATCAGAGAGAGAGAGAGAGAGAGAGAGAGTGGGAGAGTGGGAGAGAGAGAGGGAGAGAGAGAGAGAGAGGTCTGTATCATAAAATATCACCCGGGATGTATCAAGTCGCTACAGTGATTTATATACTGTAATCTGGGTAGTGATCAGCCAGCCTACAATACAGTATATCCTCCTGCGTATTTTCCCGCCAAGAGGCTTCTGGTGTTTATGTGAGGTTCAAAGACCGGAAAACTTTTGACCTCGGTTTACAGCAGCAAAATTATGGCGAGGTCTTTCTCCGTTTTAGTTAATAAATCTGTCTCACTATTAGAGCTCAAGACATTATTTAGTTGGGTTTTACGGATGAAGTAAGAAATGTAGGAGTTAAGAGTGTTTGGCCAATAACATTTCGAAAAAAATGACAAACATAAGCAATAGGATTCAGTTATCGTGGTAGATACTAAACGTCTTATTTCATCGTTACTTAACATAGGAGTTGCGGCTAAGAAACGCTTACTCTATGATGACGTGATGCAGACGAGTTATTCAAGTATATAAACAAGTGTATTCTATCTATATTTTTTTAAATGGGTCAGATAATAAATGGACACCCTATGTTTTAGTGTTAGACCCACGTGTATCTGTAAATAAGGATTGCACTTATAGCACACAGGCGTTGTGCCAGCCAACGCCCAACCCGTTTGGAATCATCAAGGCTGGGCTGTGAACGGACACTTTCTATATGGCCTGTCTTGATAGGAGTCCAGGTAAACGCTGCCATGACGAATAAACAGTACGACAAATCTGGCTAATCGAAAGGCTTTAAATGTACACAATATAATAAGACCACAGCTCCAAAGACCAGTTTTAAAAAGTACAGCAATAATAATTTCGTATAAAATTATTACAGGAATTAAAATGCCAATATAAAACATGACTTCAAAGGCTTAACACAATTAAAATAAAATATAAAGTTACTTTATTTAATATTTACTCAAAGTTTACTGGCTATCCAAGATATTTGGTGGTGTAGTCAGGGCTCACTGCCTGACAGACGATTATTTTCCCAGAAATATTCTCCCTACCGTTGCCTGTCAACAAATTTAATGCTGCACGCAGCCCTAAACAGTCTATGGTTGGTTCTGTTCTGTTACCACGCTGCTGTGCCTCAAACGTAGTGATCGCCGCACAACCCGACACTAGCGATAAAAAAAAACCAGGAAATCTAACAAAAACAAGTTAAACACAATATAAAATCTTATATTCAAACAGGCACTTTCAAGATGGGGTCGCTGTTAGACAGTTGGTACAACACCTGTCCACCCTTGGTGCATTAGGTTCTGGCAGAGCGGTGATGCCCAGATAAATTTGCATGCAATGTTTGGGAGTCATAGAGGCTGACATTTGGCAAGACATTACTGATATTTACTCCCATAGATACGCTGCTAATATCTGCTGTACACAAACAGCCTCCAAACACGTGCTACAACGAAATGCCACTGCACACGTAACACCAACGACGCAATGACTGTTATGCCTTTCTTAACCTAGTCTTACCTAACCTCATCCCTTACCTAATCATGCTAACCTACCCTTACCTAACCTTTATTTCCCGAGTCAAGCCAAAGTTTTCCCCAGTCTGGACAGTTCGCTTCTAAAATTGTACTATTCTATTGAAAGGGGTGTCCATCATCGCATTCAATGTGTGTGTGTAGACGATGTTACGTTTAAAATATCTTGGTGAGGTATTATTCAAGAAACTAAAAACAATAGGATTTCATATTCAGAACACACCGGGGTGAAGATTCATGGTATACGAGGAGCCTGGCAGGTGTAGAAACATTAAATACATTAAAAAAGAAACAGGTACACCATTCTTTAAACAAATAAAAGTTCCTCTTATACTGCGCGAGGGTTGAATTTTTTTTGGTGTGTTTACTGCAGTGAGCAGGTCATTGACAGCCACACAGCTTCTGGGTCACTTGACTTAAGTTACTCTAAGCTAAGGTGATCACAACAGTGGGTCTGGTAGGTTGGAGCCAGTTAAAGATATGTACACCGGTATTTATGTCAGTTAATGACTATGACACAAATACACAAATAAATGTATTAATAAAATAAGTGTAAAGGTGAAGGCTTGTAAATAAATATGCTACAGTACACACAACAAATGGTAACATCAGCACAGTGAAGTGGACAGCAGCAGCAAGCTCTATGATACTAGACAAAGACCCCCAGGCTGGTGGAGGTCCCTCACCTAGCCTGGGTACACTGCCCTCCTCTTTCCATACCTGCCCTTCTACCTCCTAAACCTGCTCTACACTTGCCTCTCATCATGGGATTTTATACTTCCCAGCGAGGAGACGTGTTAAAAATTCTAGATTAGTGGTAGTAAATCGTCATTTTCATTATTTTGTGGTGCTAAGTTTGATCAACAAGACAATCAGAGATGGGATACCTAGTCCCAGTCGTGCCGCAGGAACCAGAAACCTTTGCTTGTGATGTCAGTCCACTCTTCGGGCACGTATTTATTTAATGAACCTATAAAAGGTCATATTGTTTCATTACCAAACATGAATGGTTTTTAATGGAGTTGTTTCTGATGTTGTGACCTTGACCTTTAACGACCTCCCAAAAAGGTTCAGTGCTTCATCCATGACGTTTGGCCAGATTTGGTCAGGTATGGTTGAGATATACTTCACGGCATTGTTAACGATGGTGCGGAAACTGACAGGCGGACTGGACTGACTGATATACATGGTCATTCCAATTTCTTTCAAATAATAATAAATTAATAATAATAATAATAATAATAATGTAATAGTAATAATAATACAAGGCACTGCTCTCTGGTACCTCGTAGTGTAGTCAAATCACATTAACAGTGTCATGACGTCAATGATGAAGAATGAAGAACCAACCAGAGGGAGAAGAGTGGCGGGGTTTATACACGGAAATATTACCATCGCCTTTACGTTTCATCGGCCAAGTTATGAGCAGCCAGCCAATGAGTGACGCTACAACAATGGAGAGCGTCAGCAATCGGTTTGAATTCGGAAATCGATTAATGAGTAATGCTAACCGATCGATAATCCATTTCCAAGTTGATAATTCCACAGCCTTTGTTGCGGGGTGGCTGATGAACGGGTGAAAAAGGAAGCTTTATATACAGTATAGATGTGTGGGATTATCCTCGCATGAAAAAACAAAAGAAACAAAAATGGCCAGATACAGTATATACATATTCATTAACTATTTATAACCGTCAACGCGTTACTGAAAAGCTTATACAAGTCCCTCTTATCAATTCTATTGTTAGTATTCATTATTTTCGGTTCTAATCTAGTCCATATTATGCCATCCGAGGTCGTTTCTCTGCGTTGAAATAGTTACAAGCGATTCTCCTTCAAATTATCGAAAAGTTAGGTGATGCTACATTACAACTGATGAAACCAAATGGTAATGGGTAACGCAGCCAGACCATCATCTTGGATTCCTTAAGTTTCGTATGAAGCTGCTTCAGGCAACTGCTTGGAATCATCACAAACACCGCAGCCTGAAAGCCTGTCATTAGTGGACAGAAAGGTTAATGGTGGCACTATGTGTGATCAGCAGCCTGTGAGGTAGTCAATGGGGTACAGGGTACTGCAAGGGTTGACGACATCGCGGGAAGGGTCGTGACGTCAGCAGTCGCCCACACGCTGCGTGGAGCGACGCTTGCATGCACGAGTAGGGACTGTCGTTGCCAGATAAATCAATATTTTCCCGTTTCCGCCTCCATCTCCCTCAATACACTACTCGAGCGGCCGTTTTCAAGGGCAGGGTGAAGGACACGTCCGTCTTCCACTCAGACACGTAAAATTATCATACACGTAATTCACGTACGTTAATACTAATTAAATACTATCAAGCTCTCGCAGGGATTGGATGGGGTAATAAAAGGCGGGAGGCGGCGGGGTGAAGTGGGGGAGAAGAGGTAGTACGAGGCGGGTGGGGGTAGTATGAGGTAAGAGGAAAAAGTGAGGGGGCGAGAAGAGGAACTGAATAAGTAAGAGGCAATAATGGGTGAAAGGAACCAAGAGGGGCAGCCCCAGAAAGACCGGGAGAGTGAAGGTAAGAGAGGGGGGAGGTTCCAGGGAGCGGCAGAGGACGTACAAAGGGTGTGGGCCGGGATCATGACTGCTGGCTTGGGGGAGGGGACTCATGCAGGGGGGAGAACTGGCTGGATACACACTTACCGGTGATGGCGGCGAAAACTGAGGACGAGGTGCCCAGACACACAAGACGCCGAAGAGTACTGAAGATCAAGAGAGTTAATGGTGACTGACTATGGTTAAGACCAGATTCAATACAAAGTGTGAGAGGAGAAAAGGTGTGTGAGGGGGGTGACAAGAAGGGTAAGGAAGTGGACGAGAGTGAGTGGGAAGAGTGGGTGATACAAGACTTGTGATGAGGGGATCATAGTAACCTGGGGTGAGGGGAGACATCTAAATGACCTTCACACATCCAGACCTTGGCAGCGGACGTAAAGAGCTCTGGGAGGTGACAGCTGACGGCTAACCGGGTTTCGGCAATTCCCGTCACACATGCCTTAGTGGCTTCAGAAAAAGGACGGCTGAAAGGCTGTCAACAAGTCCAGACAGACACGTCGCGGCGGTTCAAAAAGGAAAGGTCTGGCGGCTGGCTCACCGGCACAACACCGCCGCCATCCTGGAGTGGCGGCCCCCTGACTACTTCTTACAGGCTACACTGGGAAATATGCATCCAAACATTTTTATTTTAGCTCACGTTGATAATTGTGTGTGTAACGTCATCCCAGGAAACTGATAGTGTGATTGCGAATATTTATATAATACTAACAAGTCTGCAATACATTCCAAAATCAGGGATTCCCAAACATTCAGATTGTAACAAACGTGACAAGGGGATGAAGAAAAGTAAATAAGGCTCTACATGCACGAGTCCCCCCAATACCTTTAGGCTAATGCAATAAATATTTCTGAAGCTAACGTGTTTACTTTCAATACCTGTCATACACCCCACAAACAACGTGACTGCACCCATAGCCTCTCTGCTTCCCGTGTCACAGACACGTAAATGCCAGATAAAATAAATAAACAGAAGATTAACGACTAAGAACCACGAACCAGAGAGCTAAAAAAAAAAAAAACCCTGTTTGAGCCTTAAAGTTGGGTGCATGTTAGGTGGGTGGGGGCGAGGGGTCACGAGGTACACAGGACCACTGACACAGCACGCCGTGTCCAACGTTTCACGTTGCTTGGCGCGAGTTACCCCGCCTTCCCTGGTACATGATGCTCAGTTTCTGTGTTGGTCAAATGGTTGAGATGAATGCTGCAGCCCCCCACCCTGATATCGATACGCCTGTGATTGTGTGTGTACCTGTCATCTATGTATATAAAAATGTTGAGAGTATCTTAAGAAGAAGAGTTATGTTACGTGAATTTCATTTGCAGTCTGTAAGAGTTTGACGACTCGACCTTCCATGCAAAAGCCACGACCACTGATCCGAGCGCAGGTGAGGGCGTCTAGAGTTGCATTAAAGCCAAAATCCTATGTCGCCTGCAGTATTTAGGAATGGACCTGTTGTGTCTTAATTCCACGCCGCATCATTTTGGCATCGCAAACACAAGTCACGTGAAAGAGCATTCCCCGTACAGTTTATATTTTCATGACAAAACGTGGTGGGTCCCTAATAATGTCAAGTGCCAAGACTGTCACCAGGGGGAGGGACACTTGGTCAGGAAGGGATGTGGCGTGGGAATATGGGCACAATGGGAGTGTAAGGAGGCACAAATTTGACAGTAAAGGATATGATTTTTAGTGTATTTGTGATGCGTATGCGCCAGGTTCCAGGAGGAAAGGTGCTGATAGTAGTTGGGTTGGGGGCCCCGGGGCCACTGGGAGGGACTACTTGGAGGCTGGAACCAGGCGTGGTTGGCGATGAATGGACAAGTCGGGCACATGGCGAATGTAAAGGCACAGAGTGGGACAGACCCGGAGGGGGGCTGCGTAAGTGGGGAGGCATGCCTCACTGGGGAGTAACCAGCTTGAGGTAGCCACGAGAGGGGAGCGAGTGGCGGCAAAATTCGCCATATTTTGTTGCATAGAGCTCTACAAACCGACGACTCTCCTCTATGCGTTGCTCAAGTTTGCGAAGAGGAACAGGCCCCCTATCTCACAGAGGAAGAATTTAGGACCACGGGTGGATTCAAAAGGCTTGGAAGCGTCAGGGTAGAGTTAAGGAGACATCAAGAATCTAGGGTTGGCAGCTGGCTGTATCCAGGCTTGTGTTAAACAATTCACCATCCTTTCATGGGGTCCAGATAGCATGGATTGGTGACATCCACACTTCGTTCTAAAACATGGAGACCAGAACTCGATCCCACCTTGAACTGCACGGTTATATAAGCCACCACCAACAAAACTAATATGACAAAACATCATGAAATTAATGCATGGTGGAAAATCCCAACTTAAATAAGGCTACAAGGATACGACAAATATAATACCGGGCGGTGAGATAAGGAACACTTTCACTTAGCAACTCTACACTGGTTTTCCTTCAATAAAACTAAAACACGAACTCTACACATTACTCCCATAAGCAATCAAGTTCAGTGCCCCGCTCTTGTGCTACATTGTTTTATAAGGAAAATAAAATCCACATATAACTGACATCTCGCTCGCCTTGACTTACAGCCAGTGTGCCCCTGACATTAATAAGAATAAAAACGTGGTACGTCCATGTTCATCCCCGTAGTTTTACTTTTTACTCTACAAACTTGTACTTTCGGCCTTTTTTTTCATCCACTCCGTACGAATGTGTGTCTGCCCTTAGGTAGAACAAAACGTTTTCTTTGCGTTATTTTGAAAGAAAAAATAGTTGAGATATATACAGTATGTCACTCTACATTCAAATGACACAAACGTCTTGGATATTCTCACGAGAAATATTAACGTCAAACGAGTCAGGCTTCGTCTAGCTCTAGCAGCAAGTGATGATGATCTTAATATACATGTACTATTTGCCCAATGTACTTTTTTCTTTAAAGTAGCAGTGAATATATAAAACGTAATGGCTAGGTGGAACAAGTTATCAAGTTACCGTTGGGAAGCTTCAGACATACACGTAGGTTGGGCAGATATAGGAGTGATAAAGGATGGACGTAAACAGGGCTACCTAGAGTAGTGTCAATAAGCCCGCTGCAGCGCCTTCATTCGTATGTGCTTAAGTCATCCAGGTTATTTTCATCACTGACACTTTATATACCAATTGGACAATATCTTAGCCGAAAATTTTACAACGGTTAAATTCCTGTCTAAATAATTCCAGACAGCTTAACAAACCTAATTTATTTTGTTGGCATAATACCGTTGGGATAAGTTAAATTACGGGAGATGGGAAAATAGCTACAAACAATTTCTTGCAGGCCTCTCCCTTTACCACTACTGCTCAATACCCCAACCCGCTGGCCGTAACGTTAGCCCATACAAAGGACACATCCGTAATGAACAATGTTTCATGGTCAAATTGTTTTCTTCGCGTTTTTCATAACCGTAAAAAAAAATCTTGTGTATTAATAAAGTTTAAATTATGAAATATAGGTGTACTGTTTCTCGTCGATTTTAAGTGCTTCATGGTCGTTTTCCTGCCATGATAAACTGCTACGTCAAGGTCAAACTGTCTTGCCCTTCAAACTCTAAATATCGAGTCATGGATCCAGATTCTCAAAGATTCGTAAGATAAACATTCCTTGTTCACTTTGTAAATATCTATGACACTAGTTTTGTCTCCTTACTTGTAAAACGTAAACTTGTCTAATTTACTTTGTATCTGGCGTGAAACCCCGATGCAATTGTGTGCAGGTTCAAGTTACCTCAGTGAGCTTGATACGTTCCTGTACCTTTAATAATTCCGAAAAATTGCTGTTTTCTTTCACAGCAAGGAAAATTTTATTCGTTGTCACAATTAAATAAAAATTGTCCTCGGTTGTCACACTAACACGAGAATTTTGTCAGTTTACCTAAGCACTAGATTTAACGAACGGGCACAGCAACGAGATGTGGCCATGGCAAGGGAAGAAGGCTAATGCCCTGCCCTGTGTAGGATTCAACCACTGCTCCAGACTGATTTTGACACCCAGCACTGTGTGAAATGTTCTTATCTTTGTTATACTGTACTGTACACGCCAATGTCAGACAAGTCACAGAAACGAAAATTCCGTCAGTTGTAACAAAAAAATATTTTGCCAGCTGTCACAACAAAACGAATTTTTGTCAACACCACAATTTTCCTCACTCGTTACAGCAACACGTGAATTTAAAACCGAACCTGCAACTCCACATTGTTTGTGCCGTCTACTGTAAATACCTGTAAGGTCTTTGCACGCTTCATCCATTATTGCCAATACTTTCTTAAAACCTACTTTTCAATCAATAACTATTCTCATGTCAACAAAGAGGCTATCTAAACCGCCTTAGAAAGGCGGATACTAAAATAAGTTTAAACAATATGAATCACCTTAAAGTTGGTTTAACAAGAATATTATTTACTGTCGTTATAAACAAGGTGCACTTAATATGGTATTTGGAAGGGGGTTGGCGGTCACTACGCCAGTAACGCCAGACGGTGGTGACAGTACACAGACGGCCGACCGTACCCAAGTTTACCCTTTCTTCAAACTCACCTCGCGTTATTCATGGCCTTTCTTCTTCTTCATAAATACGATACCAGATGGTTACTTGATTTAGCCATGGTGGCCAGCAGTGAGTAAATAAGAACTACAGACATGCCGATAATTATACACCGTCACGTAAAGTCAGACCGCTTGAATGGATTGTGTAATTTTAGTTTAATTATAAATTTAATCCATTAACTAAATACGTATTTTTATGTGGTAAGTGGAGTGAAGACTAATACTTCGGATCACACAGTTCAGTAACCCACAACCAATAAATTCCATGCCAGCATTTAACGATCTGCTTAAGAAAACTGATACTTAATAGCATCACACACGAAATTAACATGAACGATTAAAGTTCATAAAACTATAAAACAAAAAGGCTGCCATATCCACTTACCGATATCGTCTAGTCTGCTATTAATGACGCCCTGCTGAAATACTGATGAGGTCTCCTTGAAGCATCTACCTGTACATATGCTTTATCATGTGCACACAATCCCACGTGAAGTTATTAAAGTCAAACAACATCACTAAGAGGGCGAATGACAGTAGTATCAGTCACCAACACACACATCCTCTGCTGCCGAAAGCCAAACCGCACTGTCGACTAGACGACTAGTACGACTGCAGCTCGGCTGAGTCGGCTCCCTGCTCCTGGACGTTGCCGGGAAATGTAGCTCGAAATGTGATGCTTGGCAACTTTCAGCGGGTACCATTTGTTACCCAGTTTTCGCATAAATAAGAAATTTGGGTAATAATTGGTTCACCATATATGTGATTGACATTGATATTAATAAAGCTGTAGTAATTAAAGCCACAGTGTATCACAAAAAACTTATATTGGGCTATAAACAGTATAAATGGTGTGGTATAGAAACGTACCCAAGCGTTATATAACAGTGAGTAGTTAAACACGCAAACGAACTTTTATATACTAAAGAAAATATGACGGTACAGTATTGATATTCACATTTAAGACGCTGTGCAATGAAACAAAGAGAAAATGGGGAGAAAACATAATATATAAGGAAAATCCACAGGAAAATACACTCCTAGATACAAGAAGGGTGAATAGTACATAAAAGTCCCCTCAGAAGTAGTGAAACATTAAAAAACGTAAATAGTATGATGAAATAATCATAAATAAGAGATAAAAAGTTGTGAAAGGGATAAGGTGTGTTATATTTCATGTCCTTCATTCTTTCCCGTGTGGTGAAATTGACCTTGTGTGTGTTGAAGGTGGATGTGTGTGTTGGTGTTGTTTTGTTGGTGTAGTGTTGGTGCACTGGTGGTGTTGGTATAGTGGTGATTTTGGTGCACTGGTAGTGTTGGTATAGTGGTGATTTTGGTGCACTGGTGGTGTTGGTATAGTGGTGATTTTGGTGCACTGGTAGTGTTGGTATAGTGGTGATTTTGGTGCACTGGTGGTGTTGGTATAGTGGTGATTTTGGTGCACTGGTAGTGTTGGTATAGTGGTGATTTTGGTGCACTGGTGGTGTTGGTATAGTGGTGATTTTGGTGCACTGGTAGTGTTGGTATAGTGGTGATTTTGGTGCACTGGTGATGTTGGTATAGTGGTGATTTTGGTGCACTGGTGATGTTGGTATAGTGGTGATTTTGGTGCACTGGTGATGTTGGTATAGTGGTGATTTTGGTGCACTGGTGGTGTTGGTATAGTGGTGATTTTGGTGCACTGGTGGTGTTGGTATAGTGGTGATTTTGGTGCACTGGTGATGTTGGTATAGTGGTGATTTTGGTGCACTGGTGGTGTTGGTATAGTGGTGGTGTTGGTATAGTCATAGTGTTGGTATAGTGGTGGTGTTGGTATAGTGGCGGTGTTGATGTAGTGGTAATGTTGGTGTAGTTGTAATGTTTGTGTAGTGGTGGTGGTGATGAATGTACAGTATATACCGTGTGTGTTTTTTATCGGATCACCTGAAGAATCATCGCCCCAGCTTATTTCACCTAACGATTAAACCACCCTAAAACTATTTTGGGAGGATGAGGTTAGGTTAGGATATGTTAGGTTAGATTTAGGTTAGGATAGAATAGGTTTAGGTTAGGTTAAGTTACGTTAGGGTGGTTTAATCGTTAGGTGAAATAAGCTGGGGCGATGATTCTTCAGGTGATCCTTTTTATCTAACACTAATAATAAAGTGATTTAAAAAGGTGTCAAATTCAGGCGTTCAAAACAGTAGGACACATAGGTTAGTTCCATTGATACTGTACCTGTCATCGTTCTCTTTCCACACATAAGAACACACAGGCTCCATTACTGTGCTTCAACAACTACAGTAAGGTTTTTAAGGGTGAAATAAAGTTAGTAAATATTACTAAAGTTCATCAACAATAAAAATACCCAATCTAAGCCTACCTTACTGACACCCATAAGTTTGTCTGTGAGATTCGACCTGGTGGCTGATGACGTCACTGAGCGGAGTAGATTGCCAGTCCCATTTATTCTTATAAACAGAAATAATTCGTGAGTTCAAGTTCTATTCGTTGAAAACTTAAGAAAGAATAAATACTTAAATAAAAATGATGATAGGACATAGTTCGTTCATGTTAACCTGACATGGATGGGACTTATATAAGATTGACATTGCAGTAACTTTTGTTTTGCTCATAAGTTATAATAATATATACTGCTTAATTCCCATAAAATTTAAAACTAAACACAGACAAAAATGGAATGAGACTGACCTATAATTTAGCAAACTATTGCGTGAGGATCTCGGTTGTTGTCAAAAGGTGGGCGGATATCAATCACCGAACATCATGCCAGCGTACTTGTCGTGACCCGGACGACGCTGGGAACTGGAAGTATCATCAGAGATTTAATCTAAAATTTCGTTGACGGCGACTCTGGCGGATGTAAAGGATGATAAAAAGACTATGGAATCCAGAGTTAAAAATTCCATCGTGTTATCATATAAATTGGTTTGAGGAGGCTGACACTCTCACTCTCTCTCTCTTTCCCCTTACAGCCAGGCGATGCTATAAGTATCACTGAATTATTGAGTGTTAGAAAAAAATGGAGCAGGTTGTTGCCTTACCTGCCTACGACATATGAATATTTTCTTCACCGCACGCCTTAGTATCGCCAACCTGGACTTTTTTTTACACATTATAGAATCGAACCATTTAGTACAAAAAGGGAGGGGGAGGAGGGGCTTTCGTCGGGAGATATTTACCACGGATAAAGTAAGGATTAGTTGCGCCGCACCAAGAGCAAGTGTGGTTGAGCTGTCTTGTATATGAGTCATGAGTTAGCCAGGCCGGGCATTTTTTCTTCTTTTTTTTTTTACGGAGATTAACCCACCCGGGCACAGGTCAACGAACCACATCGGGGCCTAGGGAGCGAAAAAAATATGAATGGAAAGAAATTACAAATAGAAAAGGAAAGTTATATTAATCTACACCGCGAAGATGCCGGAAAACCAGCTTTTTAAATTGAGACATTGTATGAGTATGGAAACACAGAAGAAGGCAGAGCATTCCACAGTTTGGCTGTGTGAGGAAATAAGGATGTACTATAACGGGTTATTCTAGTGTGACCGACATCCACAGAGAAATGGTGGGCACTGCGGGCAAGACGTGTGTTACGAGCCCACGGCCTTGCCAGCGGTACACAGGATGCCAAATCCACGGAACATTGCCCGTTAAAGTACCCGTAAAAGAGATAGAGTGGAGCAACATTGCGGCGAAGAGAAAGGGAAGAAAGATTGTCAACTAAAGGAGGAGAGTTAATAAGACGAAATGCCTTTGATTCCACCCTATCTAACAGTTGGACAGAAGAGCCACCCCACATGAGACTGAAAAAAAAAGAAATCAATCGTATGAACCTTTATAACACACGAGTTTACCAGAAAAAGTTGCAGGCAATGTGTGAAATCAGTTTCCGACAAATGGTGGAAGGAGCACCATCAGTACATAATAATTATGATATAGGCATAACAACTACCCTCGACTCACCACTTCCATATATGATAATCCATTATATCAACTTTTCAGTCATATTATCAATTTTTTCATGTTAACCTTGTGTGTGTGTGTGTGTGTTTCTTGCCTTTTATATACTGACAAGAAGCCCAGAAGGAACCCAGAGGTGTACCTTATTGTCGTTTGCCATCCTGTGTCTGCTCTCCCAGGATGAAGCCAAATCAATAAGGCTCTCCTGACTCGTCGAGACCTATATAACTAACGTTGTGTGTGTGTGTGTGTGTTGGTAAGGTGTGAGGACTCGTTTTGTGATTGTCATGAAGGCAATTAAATTAGTGACAGATTCATGGATGACGTGCTTCACATACCTAGTCTGGCGTTCTGTACGAGTAGGTGATACAGGTTAAAAAACAGAACAATTAAGTCTGAATGGTATATGAGACAGGGTGGGGTAAAAGCAGGTCTTGTGACACACGACCCTACAACAACCCACACTTCTGCCTCCCACCGCCCACTCCTTTATCCCTCAGCCGCTCACATGACAGCTGCACCTGCCCCCACATCCGTACACCCATCTCCATATAAGCGTCACACCCCCTGCCACGTAAATCAGTCATCAATCCAGTCATTCAGCCACCTGGTCGTGTAACACTCAACCAAGTACCAAGCTTGCTCAGATAAACAATACAATTACCATAGTTCTATGCCCTCTATCAGCAAGGTCAAATGAGGTCCATTCCTAACGGTTTGGTTTAGGTGGGGCTAAGTAGTTGGCTCTAAATTGCAACCTTATCAGTGAAATTATTTTTCCCCAGAAACTACATCAGTCAAGGTAATTATGACAACATAACAAATAAAAGCACCACCAGAGAAATAATCTACCCTTTAAAATTATACAATTTCGTGAAATTATACACTTTCATCAAATTATACACTTATCAGATTATACACTTCGTCAAATTATACTCTTTCGTAAAATTATACTTTCGTAACCATAAATTAATTACGTCACGGCACCAAGTCTGATACGGATGCCTATTTATGAAGTCTATTTGTGGGAGTCATGGTATACTGTAAGCACTAAACCGACTTCCTGTTGTCATATACGCAGGCAACAGGTATCCATTGACAACGACTCGTTTGATTGGTTAATTCTTCCCTATCCACTGTGAATCGAGTCACAGCACCTTGGCGTGTACCATGTTTTGGCTGGCTGTGACTTGTCTCTTTGTGCTTAGCCAATAAGCCAATTAACAGCCGTCGTGAGAAGGGGGGTATCAGTTTTATTTTAGAACTTAAGGCCCATTTCGCTCTTTTTCCGTTACTATGACCTTTATCGCAACAGGTAACTGATATATAATGAGACGTGGGGAAATGACTATGACCCCCCCCCCCAAAAAAAAACAAGGCAGATAACACCCTGACGACACTCCTATCACAGTTCACGATCGATGCCTAACTCAATAACACAGACCCGGATTCTCGTATCACCGATGACGGAATAGATCTGAAATTATCCAAGATGAGGCACAGTACAGACAAACAGGCTTTAAATATGAAAAGTGCATTGAGTCTTCCTTCACAGAAATCAGATAGGTCAACTTGTCCTATAGACATGAGGAGGGAAACACGGTATTGTGTGACTAAATGAAAATCCAGGTTCTCGGGTAGTATAAACGTCAACACGAGAACGCGCTGTAGTGACATTAAAAAAGGCTGAACAGTTTACCAAATACTACCACATACAGTACCTACTAAATGCTACCACGTATACCTACTTAATACTATCACATAGACCTTACTCAATACTACAATTTTTTGTACAGATATACCGAATGAAATCATTGTCCCAACACTTTTCCCGGAGTGCTCAGTCTTATGCACTTGTACCAATTCGCGGTGTTGCTTCTAAATTAATAAAATTAAGCGTAAAATGAGGTGGGAGAGTAGTGAGATCACTGAATCTATAAGACAACAAGCTGTACAAGTCGGTGCACTAGTTTGCATCAGCGTGGATCTAGGCTACGGCCATGACCTAGATACGCGGGTGTTTGTTAAGACAACAGGCCTCTCCACACTCCACCAACTCAATAATTATGCATTCATCAAACTTTCATTACCAATACTGTACTGTGTGTACGTACACCATTTTTCACTCCGAATCTGTTTTCCTTTTTTCTTTTCAATAAAAATAGCCAAGTTGATGACATTTTCGAAAAAGTTAATTTGGTTTTGACATTTCTCCAGCGACGTCTTTCATTATTTTAGTATAAACTACTAATGGATTAAAGGAGGCATAAATTGATCGAAGTGGATATTTGCGCAACAAACTAATAGGTAACGTTAGGTAGGTTTCTTTGCTTTTAAGTACCAGATATCATACATAAATTACGGAGCGTCCACACTGCCGTCACGACTAACACCAGCGACCTTCCTGTCACCTCTGACAGCGTTACTTACAGTATATTTTACCAGCATACCTCAGTGTTGCAAAAAATATAAAGACCTGGGCTGTGACATTTAGTGCTGGACCAGTTTCAAAAGGAGGTTGGATGGATTCATGGATGATAGAGTGGTAGTAACTCTCGACAGGAGCTGCCATGCACAGGCCAACCGGCCTATTGCAGACTCCTTATTTTCTTATGTTCTTATTAATTGTAGAGGACATAATTCGATTTTTTTTCAATGATAAGTTCAGAGAAGACTACTTTCATCTACAGTATAGCACTTTTGGCGCATTTTACCCATAACCAAGATATCGGGAGTTGAAAATCAGAAAACCTGCCACTCAGGTACAGAAGTGACACCTACGGTCAGAAACTGGTGGGCGATGCAGGTCAACACTGATAATGAGATCACGTTACCGATGCATAATGATACATTTCCATCGGTCACAAATTTTTGACCGATTCAGGTGCATCGGTTGCATCATCAGCCTGGATCCGACCATGATCATTATTATTATTATTATTTTATTATTATTATTATTATTATTATTATTATTATTATTATTATTATTATTATTATTATTATTATTATTATTATATAACTTTCGACGATGGAGTGTGAGGTTTGTTTACAACTTTACAGGGAGAAGCTCGGGTAAAGTTGTGTGGCGGGTGAACTGAGGTGGTCGATAATCCCTAATTATCGGGGAGGGGGGAGGGGGAGGAGGTAAGGCTTATCCTCCACGACCTGTTGAGTTTTAGGACATTTCCCTTTAATTATGCATCCTACTCAAGCATAAGTAAAGTTAATGATGCAAATTAAAGCAACATGAAAGGACGGCATGTATAAGGACGCTACTATTATATCTGTCGGAAGAGTGGCGATGGTTGTAGTAGTAGTAGTAATGGTGGTAGTGGGAGATGATGTAGTAGTGATGGTGGTGGTTGTAATGGTGGTGGTGGTGACAGTGGGAGATTTAGTAGTAGTAATGGTGGTAGTTGTAGTGGTGGCAGTGGGAGATGTATTCGTACTAAAGGTGGCGATGGTGGTTGTAATGATGCTGATTATGATGATGGTAGTTGTAGTGATATGGTGGTAGTGCCAATAGTGGTAGTAGTGGTAATAAAAATTTGGGTGGCTGTGGTGATGTTGGTGGAGGTGATGACACTGTTGGTGGTGATGGTAAAAGATGAAAGGTGGATAAGGAGGGGGGGAGCAGAGGAAAGGAAGGAAAGGAGGGAGAGGGCGGAAGGAAGGAAGGAAGGGAGGGGAGGATGAAGGGCGCCTCTCTTAAGTGTGGGTGGGTGCTGTACACTAGATCAATAGCGTCATGGTAACTGATGTCTGACTCATCTCCAACACCATAAAACCCCCTCGGGTGTTCCTATAATTGACGCAACCTCCTCTGTCGGGATGTAATCACTTGACAAGAGTAAATTTTCAGGAAGTGATCGATATGACTACTTGGTTGGTTGGTGTTGGGTTAAAGTATATGAGGTACATTTAGATTAAGAGAGGAGGCCTTTGAGGGGGATGTTTGGAGTGATCTTAGGTGTAACCTCCGCGTTTCGTGCATAATGCTGACACCAGATTGTTGGTTTACCCAAACACACGTCGAGGGTCTCTTTCTTATCTTCCTAATACGTGAGTCATATTCCATTATCCGGCCGTGCGTCTACTTGTTGAGTTTATTTACTTTGGTCACAACACTCTGGCAGGTTATTCCAAGAGTTTATAACTCTTACGCCAAAAAAAGTTTACCGTGACAATTTTTTTTTAACTTGTGGCTTTTTTAACCTGAGGCTGTGACATTTAGTGCTGGACCGGGCATCCGCTAATTCTAGGTATGAACACCTGACTGAGTAATGATCCTCTGAGGTCCTTATAAACTTCTAATTAGGGATGCACTAATTAATCGGTATCGGCAAGGTTAGACTCGGCTGATATCGGTACTGTACATACAGTACAGTATTTGCCCTGTAAGACAGGGGGACGTCAGATTATTCTAACCATGCTCAGCTAAACTCCAAACTTTGCAATCATACAGTACAGCCCCTAACATATAGCATGCAACACGTCCTAGGCGTGTTGCTCTCACACAGTGAAGGATATCAGATGCCAAGTGGATATTTTTAGTCTATAATTTTCTGAAGTAATCATACAGTATATTGCTTTGAGTTCTGACATAGCCTTCACTGATATTTAGTGTGCAATATACACCTGGATACATATATGTATATGAGATGGTGCATCTTTATCATTGCAAATATTATATAAAACATATGTAAACTCTTTGTATGAGCCACAGCTGATGTGCCTAAGCAAAGAAATGTCAAGTTTGTCTTACAACAGGTGTTGATTTTAGTGAAACAAGATGATAATTACCGAAAAAGCCAACCTGATATTTACAATAACAATCTCTGTAATAACGATAGTTAACTTTTCTTCCTATTAGACCAGATTAGAGTAAACTATTATACTTCAGACTGGAATAAGTATATAAGGAGTATCGGTATCGATAAAAGAATAGGTAAAACTGGGTATCGGTACATCCCTACTGTTACTTTTTTACTGTTATCCTCTTCACCACTGATCGGCTCGTTAGCCGCTTGGGCGATCGGTCACGTCTCTGTTAAGCACTGTTGGTAAGTACTGGGCATGCACTGGGCCCTGAAAGGATCTGAACCAGCTCCAGTGTTGGTCAAGTCTGGTCTTGAAACAGCTCACACTCGGTGCCGGCACAACACTATACAAATCAAGGAATATAGCCGCCATCTTCAAAATTAGTCGCCATATTAAAAAAACTTAAAAGCCAAATAACTGCTAAGTATTAATTGTATCGAAAAATAGCATCCAGTCAAAGTTGTTCTAACTCATATATAGCTCCCTATTAGATTGTTATCTTTATGTTATTAATACAATTATGAAGGATACTGGGCGCTGATATGATAAAGTAGACGTCATGGGTCAGCCTGGTAGGTCCTGTGTAACAGACCCGTCCCAGTTAAAAGCTTCCGTTTTGTGGATTTACTTTATTATACAAAAGTGTCTTCCTTACGTCAATGGCTTCCTACGTTGTGCCTTCAGGATTTCCGGAAAGATGCAGAAGACTACCACAAAGTCTGTTCTCGGGCTATAGTGTTATTAGTGTACTGTAACAGGTATTTAAATGCCTAACTACGCTAGTAATTATACTGGACATCAAAGTTTATAAAATTATGCGATATAACTTTCTTGAACCTATAAAGAATACAGTATATATATTTTATACATCAGCGGTCTCTCGTTATACTCATGACCACTATCTGTATACCGAAGATGTAAACATTTGCTCTGATAAGTCTTAAAAACCTAACATGTACAATACTATGGATGTTAATCCACTCTGTATTATATTAGTGAAAAATGGAAGTAGAGGAGACAGACTGTTATTTCGTTATCCTTATTCTGTTGACACCACAAAGGAGACAAAAACCAAAAGTAAGTAAAAAGTGATTCAGCGTAACTAAACCTAACCTCATTCGAGTATTTGGATCGAGTACGTTGGTTTTAGGGCATTTGTTCCCATCAAAGTGGGTTTTCTTAAATACTGTATTTCGTAAAATAAGGATTTAAATTGTAAGAGAAAGGGTAAAATTTTAGTTTCGGTCATTCTTGTATTGAAATATCCAAAACTAACCTAACGTAACCAACCTAACCAAACCTAACCTAGTCTTACCTAACTGATTCCCCGGATGACCGAAACTAAAATAACACCAGAAAAAGTTCAAACATGTAAATAGAAATTATCGGTAATTGTTGACGACTGACCCGCGGCCGATTTTTCACATTAAACGATTATAAAAATACCGCAATTTCACTGTGTTTTATAGTGGACGCTGTCGTAGTTTGTGTAAATGTGTTAAAAAGTGGTTATTTCTAAATTAAACCTAACCTAACCTTAGTTGATATGAAAAACAAGCAGGAGAAGCATTGTTAGAAGACCTCACCAACCTAACCAAACAAACCTACCTAACTTCCTAGCCCTGGACCCCCCAGTATATTAAACAGAAAGAACTTACTATGTTATGGTGTAATGTTACGTTTTTTGTGGACGTGAGAGCAGCCGCTGTAATGAATGGGTCATAAACATAGACTGAGCATCTGCGTTGATCCAGCTCAGGTGGCGGAGTGTTTTGAAATACTGTACGTCGATATGATTAGCTGTTTACCTCCTGGGATGAGACATCACTGCTGCATTACTGTAGCTATAAACACACCTAACCATATTTCTGTTGTGCATGGAAACTACTGTACTAACAAAATTAAAAGTAAAGATTCTTTTTAGGTCGAGCATGGAATTTCATATTTCTATTTACAGGTATATAGGGAGAAAGCAAAAAAAAATATATTCTATTATGTTTCCTGCACAAATTTTTTTTTTTTTTGTATTTTAACCGATGAGACCTCTGCAATTACCAACAATATTGGTTGTTCAAAGTGGGTAGTAGAGGGAAAAGTGGGGTATAATACTAAAAAAGAACTCCAAACAAACCTTTGAAAACCTTGCCTAACCTTACCTAGCTTGTAAAAAGGTTAAAAATATGGTAATGTCTGAGAACACCTCTACCACCAGAATAGTTGTTTTATATGATCATTATAAAGGAGGCAACATTTACTAGAACCCAATAGAACCTGGCCTAACCAACCAAAGAAACCTACCCAACCTTACCTAACTTCCTAGCCGGGGGGCAGATCCCCCCATTATATCAAACAGAAATTACTAAGCCAACCAGCGTGTACTCGCAGTAAAATAGCGTTAGTAGGAACTTATCTGGTTAGGCAAAATATCCTCTACATAATGAAAAACAGTCATTACAAAAAACTATATCCCTACTTTTTTAGAATATTTATTTAATTTCGTTACTGAGCAGGGTTGCAAAGCAAAAGGTAAATATGGTAATAGAAACATGACAGAAATAATTTATGATTGTTGTGCTGGTGCACACCTGAAACAACAACATAAGGATATTTGTTATTAGAAAATAAATGCTTTCTTGTACCATGAAAAGCCCAAAAATTTGAACAGAAACAAATTCTGCAGTATAATTAAAAAAAAAAATCTGTCCTGCACACTAATCTACAAGATGGTGATTAAAGATCCGATGCCATTCTTCCTGTATGTCCAGGATGTTTCGTTGGTTCACATTTCATAGAAAGGATTTTTGTTTATAGATAATAATGGACCATAACTATACAGGCATTTTAAGTTAAGTCAGGTTAGATTGGTTCATTTTATCAACGAATATTCCTCGACCTTGGCGAACAATCCCACCAGTTACTCTTAGCAACTGCTGGCCTATACCCACCACCCCAATAATGTAAGAAAATTAAATATCGAACTGACACCCTAACATACCTATCGTAACTTAACCTAAACCTGTGTATGAGTGGAACCAATGAAACAGCCGTGCTGGATGTAAACAAAGGAGCTCGGTATGGTAGTACAATATAGGTACAGTACAGTACCCCTCATTATCTGAATGGGTTTGGTTCCTTGAAAACCATTCGGATAGCAAAATTTGGGATAGTGAATAACAACAAATGGGAAAAATAGGGTTCGGTTCCTTAACGACAATAAAACCCCAATGTTATATACAGTACAGTATACCTAAAAATAATGAAATTAGTTCACGAACAACAAAACCCTATATTAGTAATTTAGTAACTGACTACTGAAAGGCAATTGCTAAAGTAAATAAAATATACTTAAGAGTACAATTGGTACATTACCTTATCAGAGGACGGTTAGGGCTCACCATGGGGAGAGGAGAGGTGGGCTGATTTTAATTTGAATTGATTCAATTTTTTTCTGACCATCTGTTGGATAAGCAAGGATCATTTTCACATTATGAAAAAGAGCTGTAAGGATGAAATTTTCGGATAGTGAACATTAGGATAACGAGGGATACCTGTACTGTTCTGTATATGGACCTGTACTGTAGGCAATTTTGATTAGATAAACATGCTCGTTATTGTTTTGAAACAGCTAGAGCACACACATGTATATATGTAGCATTGATGAAAGATATTTGTTGACCTGATGTTGATGGTATATCCGTTATATCCACAGATAAAAGACCTAATCCATATTCTCTGCTCATCGAGGGGAATACGCAGACAGTACCGATGCCCCACACATCAAACATCTCCAATGGCAAGCTCGTTGGTTTTAGTGATAAGGTATGATGTATTTGTGTGATAATTCATCAGCCCTGAGGTGACATTATATCTCATACATAAATTGAGGTTTGTGCATTGATTTCTCACATACATTTAGCCTTCAAGTACTACAGTGTACAGTAAACTACTCTTTGTGGAAACTTCGTACAGTACTTGTATATCTCTGAATATGTACAGTATAATGTACTTGGTTAAGTTCCTTATTCATCTTTTCTTTTTCAGGTTATGTCAAATCTCTTTGCTGTGAAGAGTGAACTTTGTGACAGCAAATTTGAATTGAAAGTAAATGATGTGAGATTTGTTGGTCATCCCGTACGCCTCAATCCTTCCACAACTCACGCCCGACCACAGGACAAGAGAAAAGCTTCTACAATTATTCTTTTCAACATTGTCTTTGCATTAAAGGTGAGCAGAAATATTTTTTATAAGAATAATTTTTACTGTGAAATAGTTGAGTTTTGTAAGAGCACTTACTTATACTGCCGTCAGCAGGAATCTTGGACCCCCGGAACTTTCCATTCCCACCCAATTCCATCCTGAGTGGCATGTTAGTGTCTACTTTGTATATTCTTAATAGCAACTTATTATGCCATTCTATACAACTTTTTAGTATAATTACCTTTTACAGGCAACATTAAACCATGATGTCGTGAACTGTTACCACGACTTAAGCATGAGACTTGGATTGGCCTTGCGTCATGAGGAGTACCGCTGCCAGTTTCTCTCATCAGAAGCCAAGATAATGCTCGCAGCACATGATGAGGTATGAAAACCCATTTATTAATGTAGTGAGTGAGTGAGTGAAGGGAAAGACTGTATATAAACCACTCTCCAGTAGTACTATTTTCTACTGAATGTAGTACTCAGAATCAGAGGATTTTCTCGAGACGATCCAGGACTGTTTCCTAAGTCAACATATAACCAAACCCACACGGGGTAATAATATACTCGATTTAGTTCTCTCGAACAGAGAAAACCTCATTAGCAATGTCGAGGTAGGGAACGAACTTACAAACAGCGATCACAAAGAAGTTAGATACCAGTTAGATTTTCAGGGCAGACGTAAGGAAAATTCCACTGAAGTACCAGATTTCAGAAAGGCAAACTTTGACAGTTTAAAGAGGCAGCTGAGAGAATGGATGTCGCGCTTGGCCGTGAACCTGACACATTACTCTGACCTGATAACGAGATCTGAGATTGCCGAGTTCCACGACAATTTAAATAATGAGTTACTTAATGCACAAAGGCAGAACATACCATACAAAAAACTCAGATCAGACAACAATGACCCTAAATGGATAAATAATTATTTAAAGAACATCATTGGCCAAAGGAAGGCTATAGGTAGAAGGATAAATCGTGGCAAAATTTACCTCCAGGATTATTGATTATTATAAGATATTGGCGAGTAGGGTTAAAACCGAGATAAGGAAAGCCAAGAGGAATAATGAGGTAAGGATAGCAAGGGAGGCGAAGACAAACCCCAAAGGATTCTATCAAATGTATCAAACTAAAACACGAGAAAAGATTGGACCAATACGGTCAGATACCGGCGAACTCACTGATAACGACGGAGAAATGAGCAATAATTTGAATAAATATTTTTCAACAGTTTTCACCACTGAAAATTTAAACATGATACCCGAGGCACCGACTCTATTCAGAGATAGTGAAGAAAACAAATTAAGCGAGATAGTAGTGACTAGTAACGATGTTAGTAAGCAAATAGACAAACTAAAGCCAAATAAGTCACCTGGTCCTGATGAGATATTTGCCAGAGTATTAAAGGAATGTAAGGAAGAGCTTAGTATGCCCTTAGCAAAGTTGTTTAACATGTCCTTAAAAACAGGTGTAGTACCAGAATCCTGGAGGATAACGAATGTAATACCGATTTTCAAGAAGGGGGATAGATAACTATCCTCTAACTACCGCCCAATCAGTCTAACATCAATAGTAGGCAAATTACTGGAAGCAATCCTTTCAAACTCTATACGAAATCACCTGGAGAAGCACCGATTGATCAATGATTCCCAGCATGGCTTCACAAGCGGACGTTCATGTCTAACTAATCTATTAACATTCTTTTCATCAGTTTTCGAATCGGTGGACAAGGGGCACAATTATGATGTGGTATATCTCGACTTTAGCAAAGCCTTCGACAGAGTCCCCCACGAAAGACTAATTAGAAAGGTAGAAGCACATGGCATCAAAGGTAACATCCTTAAATGGATTAGGGCGTGGTTACAGGACAGGAAACAGCGAGTGAGCATTAACGGCACTAAGTCCCATTGGAGCAACGTCACAAGTGGAGTTCCCCAAGGCTCAGTACTTGGACCATTATTATTTATCATATACATAGATGACATAGATATCGGCATAGACAGCAACATAAGTAAATTTGCTGATGACACTAAAATAGGACGTGTTATTAAATCTGACGAGGACTCCACAAAACTACAGGAAGATCTAAACAAATTTTTCGAATGGTCTGAAAAATGGCAGATGAAATTCAACGTGGTCAAATGTAAAGTACTCAGTATAGGAGATGTAAACAGGGAAACCAGAAACCAGATGAACAACGATGCCATAGAGAAATCCGTGTGCGAGAGAGATTTAGGAGTAATGATAAGTAGGAACCTCAAGCCAAGTAAACAATGTGTTTTTGCTCGTAACAAGGTTAATAAAGTACTTGGGTTCATACAAAGGAGTGTTAGTTACAAGACTAGCGAGGTCATCCTAAAACTGTATCTTGCGCTTGTGAGACCACACCTGGATTACGCAGTTCAGTTCTGGTCACCGTATTACAGGATGGATATAGAATCATTGGAAAGAATTCAGAGGAGAATGACAAGACTAATCCCGGGCATTAGGAACCTTGAGTATAGAGACAGGTTAAAGCATCTTAATTTGCACTCCCTCAAGAGACGTAGAGTGAGGGGCGACCTGATAGAGGTGTATTGTATAAGTGGAAGTCAGTTGCTAAACAAAGGGGACATTACAAGGGTACTCAAACTATCCAACCTGGAGCGACCTCGTAACAATGGTTTTAAATTAGACAAATTTAGATTTAGGCGTGAAATAGGTAAACACTGGTTTGGAAACAGTAGTGGATGAATGGAACAAGTTACCAAATATCATCATTAGCTCGAATACGCTGAATAGCTTCAAACATAGGTTGGATGCTTATATTAGCAATAGGGGTTGGGTGTAAACGGGACTGCCCAGTATGGGCCAATAGGCCCGCTGCAGTTTCCTCCATTCTTATGTTCTTACTATGCATACCCATACTATAACTTACTTGGGAAGTGTGCAGCATATTTTGTTTTTGACAAGAATGAACCTAACCAAAGTTACAGGGGTTAAGGTGGGTGTCTAACTATGATCTTGAAAGCTCAGGTTAATGTAGTCGTGTCTTGTACATTTGTTTAGTTTCACAGGCATTTGTTAATCAGTTTTCTTTGCATTTCATTACTTCAATTTCATATGTTTTCCTGCTTCATTATTAACCATTATATCACCCTTTATTTACTGTAAACTCTGCTACGTACAGTACAGTACGTACTGTATTTAATTGTTTCTTCCAATAATTAACTCAAAGTAGCATAATTACAATGGTATGGGTTGATGCAGGTGTACGTTTTTCTGCCCCATTGATAGTGATGTGTTAAGTTTGATTTTAATTGTTTACTTATTCTAACTGTTAATTTTTTATTTGTACAGTACTGTATTTTAGATAGTATCTATTATACTGGTATATATTACTTTATTTTTATTTCATTTGTATATTTTGAGTCAACTTTTAGGCATGTAAAGCCCAGTGTTGGACCAGTCCTCATCAAAAGTTAATCTTTTGAGATTGATGGCAGATTCAATGAGAAATTGAGAAATTGGTGATGTATAGTTGAAGAAACCTATCTGCCGTTTAGTCTTTCCCATCACTGCTATAAAAACACTCAAAACACATTACAGTATTATCTTATTGAAGAGGGAAGTTCAGATGTCAAAAAATATTTATGCTGTATGAGGTATTTGCCAATCAGTTTTATGTATTCTTCAGACTTCCACTTCTCCTGAAGACGGACAGGTCTCACCATTTCAATTGATCTTGGACCGCAGCCTCCTTGCTCGACATCTTAGACAAGCTTATGAAGAGTGAGTGTCATCAATCTCCGACATCAGTAAGATTTATACTTGCACTGATATCATTGTACGCTTTCAATAATTTGTCAAAGCTCAGACTAACCAGTAATTATTTTATATACTGTATCTGTTTTGGAAAGTAACTACTGTACAGTATTATCCATGGTTTTACTCACTTCTTATTACTGTATTTCAATGCACATGTTAATAAAATAAATCAAGCTGATATAATTGTCACAGGTGGTTACATGCACACTTAAAGCAGGAATTTATTTTGTGTGATGTTAGGATTCCTATCTTCAAATTTGTACCTTTAAACACCTAACATTCAACAACATACAGTACATAATTTGAGTATACTGTATATTTGAAGTCATTGTTTTTGACAGCCCAAGCCATTTGTTTTATTACATATATTTTTTTTAATTACATATGCCAAGTGATGCATTTGTATACTGTGTCTACAAATAGTCATTATGGAGAAAATACTGTATGTTGTCCATCTCCCTGTGACCTGGAACCATCCACTTAATGTGGTACAGGAGCTCTTCACCATGGCTTAACCAAACTAGAAAATTACTTATTCTTTCATTTCCCAGAGTATTTGTGGTCATAATTACTAAAGTACTAAACCAAATTTGTCATCAGGTTGTGTGGGTCTGGTATTGTTCAACTTCGGCTCAACAAATGGATAGAAGTTAGCTTTTGTTTGCCACAAAAAGTACACCACAGTTTAGCCACAGGAAGGCCAGTTGATGTAAGTTAAACAGTAATGCTAATTTTAATACAGCTCCTCCCCGACTTTCGACCTACTCGACTTACTACCACCCGCACTTACGACCTGCCTCAGTCATTCCAAAATTTTGTCAAATTACGTATTTTCGAGTCCCAACGTCACTGATTGCGCTGTGTACTGACAAAATTTTTGTTTGTATTTCACTTTAAAATGGCTGGCAAGTTTAAAAGTGAGAGTTTTGTGGTGCTGAGAAGAAAAAGCGACACCCATTTTAGATTTTCTGTGTATTATTTAAGCATTTTCGACTTTCGACCATTTCGACTTATGACCTGGATTTGGGTCCCTAACCCTGTCGTAAGTTGGGAAGGAGCTGTACTGTACTGTACTTCCTTTTCACTTTCAGCACAAGATATTGGTCAGTTAATTGTTTTGCATGCCAAAAGAATTAGTACTGTAATTGGTTTATTTCCTTTTTATACTCCCAAAGTTCTGCTGTTGCTTAACTTATCCCCATGATAGTGCTATTGTTGGGCGCCGAGGCTTGATCTACAACTTAAAATTACGTAATTAGTAAAATCAAAGTGAAGTGATGATATTCATTGTAATATTGCTGAAATTATTTGCTACTTTGAATTATTTTAATGTGTTAGTTTTGTGAAATACATTACAGTTTTTTAATGCTGTATGGTTGAAAAAATTAATATACACAATAATAGTTTGTACAAGAGATAGGACCATTTAATGTATATAATTCAAATCCTCCCACCTGGTTTTGCTGTTTTTAGTGTGAAGGACTACTGCGAGGGCTGCAAACGCTGAAGCCTTATCACACATTGCTGCTGTTGGTGGAGCGATCAGAACTATTACATTCACTCTCACCAGATGCTTCACAAGCCTTATGGAGGTTGCTTCATGTGGAGGAGTCACATCTCACCCCCTTCTTCACCTTGGCTGCTGATGCTGATCTTACTCTAACTCAGGTCTTTATGGTAAGTGTTGATGAGTTAAGCCCACGCAGTCATACACTGAAACTGAATATGGATTTCTTTGTATAAAAATAACACACCATAGTGAATACTTAATAAACAAGAAATGTGACAAGATTATTTAAGTGTAAAGAAAAAATTAATAGATTAATGAATTAAAAAATATGTAGAATTCACACATCCCATAAACCTCATGATCTGATGTCCCCAAATAATTTCATATTATTCTTGAAGCCATACCTCCCAAAAGAATATTTTTCATGCAGAAACACTTTAAAGGTCAACAAAAATATGCCTTTAATGTAATATTGTAAAAGGAAAGATGTGTATTATCTCCATCTGACGGCTGTTCGCAACTGACTACCCACCACCACTGGCATGTATCAGCTAGCCAGCATATCCATCTACACCCATTATTACCACTCAACATCAAAACAATGAACATTTAATAACTTTAAGAATGAGTAAAAGAATATAAGTTGTGGTAATGAATGGTTTATTGAGAAACTTGTGCATCTTATTCTCCCTCTCATGGCTGATCATCAAATGTTATTCCTTAACCGCTCATGTTGTTTAATAATGTCTAATTTCACCTCTAAAATAAAATTTCTTTCATTGTTTCTTGGTGAAGCACTAGGAGGTTACTTTTGTACTCAAGTGTAATTTGGGGTAATTTCTAAAGACACAATTGTGTACATTTGCAACTCTCGCTTAAAGCGTCTCATTGCATCCAGAAGGTTCTCGTTGAACACAAAAAATTTTAAATTTTATAATACGTATTTTGAAATATGAAAAACATATACAGCACAGTATATTTCTTAGGGAACCTACAATATTTTACTAAATGACCATAATATATGGAGACAGTTTTTTGGTTTTATATACGTACAAAATGTAAATCAAGAAGTTTCCCTTTCTGCTTTTTCAAGTCGTACACTATAGATGAATTAACATTGCACATGTTGCATACCTCTAGGGAGAACTAAAGCCAGGAGCTTTCAGTGTTCACTTATAAGACATTATGTACAGTACTGGTAATGGGGAAGGCAATATTAATAAGTGTCATTAAATACCTATAAACACACATCACCAGCACCAGGACCACTCTTGCCCCACTGCACTGGGTTTAATACTGTACCTGGGTCAGTGTGACCCTACCCAAAAAAAAATCCTAGGGTGTTTGGTTCTTTGTACATATATTATTTACCTGCACACTATGTACTTGGTTCACTTATCAAACACAATATCATATTATCAAGTGAATTGTCTCTGACGGAGCATTTGTCTGTTATTAACTGGAGATCTGGATTCGAGTACATCTGTGCAGTAAGAGACTAAGGAAGTATTAACAGCTGACCATGCCTTACTAATGGGTCAGCTTTTATAGGGAGTGAATATCTTTCCACTCCTGGAGCTTTTCTAGTTCCACCTCCTTCTTACTATACTGTAGTTATCCTGGAATTACTAGAGCTGCCTAGCATAAGGGTAATAGTCAGAAATGGAGGAATAATTTTGAAATCTCTTTTCTGGTGGAGCTTGTAGCCAGGTGGCTTAGGTATATTCCCCATCCTTTGGGTTAGTGAATTAGCTGGAAATAAATTCAGAATGACAGATTGATCTAAAATCAATTTGGTACAGATTGAACTAACTCATGTTTTAATTTGACTTCCTAGCCTTATGAAGATGGCTACTGCACCAATGTCCATTGTTAAGGGGATGGTAAACAGGGAGAGAAGGGAAGTCCCTTATCTAAATAGATTACGCACATCAACCCTGGCTGACAATGATGGCCTGTCTATGGACAATAGACCGCAAGTAAGCTGCCATAAAAGAAAAAAATCAGGTTAAATCCTCCATTTTTGCTTTCTTTGCCAATCTGATCTGATTTTGATCCAACACCAATAAGATGAATGTCAGTGCTCGAGGTTCAAAATGGGTTTAGTGATATACGTAACTTCAACATCACCATGTAAATAGGTTGCTTCGTTCAGATTACCGGCAGTAGATTTTCTCTTATTTCGTGTTCCTGCTTCTTGGGCCTCTGTTATTGTTGATTATACAGTTTACTTAAATAGAATATTTGCTTTATTGCTTATAGTATGATGTATCTTTACCAAATGTAAGTAACTTTATGAATTAAAGATTCACTAAGTCCAACTTCTGTTACAGTTGGTGGGTCATCTTGTTTACTGGGGCAAGGCTACCATCATATACCCTGTGTGCAGCACCAATGTCTATGTTCTCTCTCCAAATGCTCCCACAATTATGTAAGTACTTTTATGTGAGACTGTATATTATTAAAATTAATGCATGAACACTGTTGCTTCTTGGATGGGCTCACACTGTACTTCAAAGCAATGATACCTGTGTTGAAGTCCATGGCTAGACTAGGTTAGGAAAACACTACTCACTAGATTGCACATAAAGTGAGTCATTTACAAAAGGTAAAGCCCAAAAAAGTACTGTATATAATTCTTACTGCCAAAGATGCACCACCTTTTGAGAATGGCAACAGCACAAGGCATGACAGTCTTTAACAATGTATAAATGATGCAGATTGAGAAATTTTATCTTTGTCAACAGAAATAGCCATCTAGCCGAGAGCTTTGGTGAGCAATTTCCAGGCTCTTCTCTGCATGCTGTTATGGCAGATTTTTCCCTCCCCACATCTCTCAGTGATAAATGTCACCCAATAACTTCACCTCATCAACAGGTAACAACAGTTGTAGTGTGTTGTCATGCTGTTTACTGATGAAATTAAGTGATTTATTAATTGATAAGTACAAAAATTATTCCATTTGTTATCCTTTATATATTTGTTGCTGATATGGAGCCATGAATATATTTATTAGGTATAATTATTTATTGCATTAACCCTTTTAGTGTCAAAACATTTCATGGGCATTCCTTTTCACCTTTCAGCAAGAACAAGTACAACAAGTATTGTGGTTATTGAAACATGGTCTCCTGCAGCAGTTACATACATACATCTATCTGGCTCCTCCTATGTCTTATGACTTTGAGGGAGTGCGAACCGGGGGACGGGAGTTTGGAGGAGCTGGGCAACTAGGAAGCCAGGGGACCAGCTCTCCAGCCAGTACAAGCATTCCAACACCGACTGTTCATGAGCCTCCACCTCTCTCTCATGAAAATTCTTTACTGACTCCCCATTCACAATCTAATCATCATCCAGACATAACCCATGATGCTCTCCACCATGCAGCAGTGCAGCTTAGTCAACCAGCCTCGGAGAGTGATCTGGGATCTGGTGAGATATTTATTTTATTTATTGACTTAGCCCTTTGCTATCAGTTTTTGTCCTTGTCCTCCATGCTTAACCCAACCATTTGCTTTTTTGTTTGAAGTTTCTGTACTCCTTGATCTGTTCCACACAAAATAAGAAGAAGATTAAAGATAGTAGATAGAACTTGTAAAGTTATTAAGGTGTGTGGAGTAAAAAGTACTGTACTTTTGGAAAATGTATACATACAATACCTTTAAAGCTTGGGGACCAGAAAACTTGTGGAAATTCTATATGGCCTCTGTACAGATAAACTATATCTTCAGTAAATATCCTACAGTGTGCAGTGATGAGAGGAGTCCAAGTCCAGGAGTAAACATTGGTGCCACACCTGAGGATTCTGTTCATCGTTGTCTGGATGCTGCTTTATCTCCTGCAGAGAAGGAGATGGTGATGAAAGTGGAGGCAGCACGTAATCCTGAAGATCTCAAACTCTTTGCAAAGTATGTTTTTTCCTGTAGTGATTTTTTTTTACGGGGATTAGCCCACCCGGGCACAGGTCACTGACCCACATTCGGGGCCTGGGGGGCAAAAATGTAATAATAATAATAATAATAATAATAATAATAATAATGATAATAATAATAATAATAATGATAATAATAATGATAATAATAATAATAATGATAATAATAATAATAATAATAATAATAATAATAATAATAATAAACCATAAAGAAATACAAAACTGAAAAAAAGATCAAGAGTGAGAAACAATACACTATTTGTATGTTGTGTAGTCACTGGTAAGAGAAACAATTGAGACCCTGCAATTGTGTGTAAATGAGGCAGAAAGTCAGATCAGCAACCTGGGACTTGGTCACAATTTTCTTGATGCCATATGGCAGCAGGGTCTACCAAGCAAAGATTTGGTTATCTTGTCCTCAGTAAAATGGCATCCCTCTATAGATTAAAAATTCAGCAAGGCTAGAAATTTGGAATGACAGAGTGAACACACCTGCAGTGACTTTGTTAACTCTTCCTAGTAAGTAAGCTTAAATGTTGAGGAATGATCCTGGAATCCTGTTTTCTAGCTGAACCATGGGTAAGTGGTTCTCACTATTGTGTTAGCCTTTTCAGGACTTGGCTATCACATCATCGGTTTTGGGGCTCTTGAAGGATTTTCCTGGGTAATACCAATGAAAAATACAATGAGAGAGAGAGTTAAGGGGTCTGCAGGTTTTCTGTGCCCCCCTTATTTGGTTAACTTTCCTATGGTACATAACTGCCAACTCATTTGTAGTACCTCTACCTTCCCATTTTTTTAGCCTGCTTTCAGTAACAAGAGCTACTTAGCAAAGGGTACTGAGCTAAAAACTGAAATACTGATCCTGATGATCCTGAGAGCCTATTCACTAGTCAAGTCTGTAGTCCAGCAGTACAGTAATGCTTAATCAGCTGGAACTAAGATGGGGTGTTAGATTGGTCTGAAAATCAAAGATAACAGCCCATAGTGGTTGCATGAGGTTTATTACATCTCCTGTTTCCAGTGGGCAATGTTTGCTTCCAATTTCCTACATCTGAGGGCAGTGGTTGTGACAGGGAGGGATGGGTGGTTACAAGATCTGCCCCAGCTGTCAATTGGGGCTCGGCTATACATTGAGTTGGTTATTCATACTGTTCTTCTCTAACTGATGCTTTTCTTAAATATATACATACAGTATACTGTATATATATTATATTTTTACTATTTACATTTACAAAATTTATTAACAAACTTAGTTATTTATATATTTGTCTTTAGGCTGTGTGTGTATTTCCGGGGGCATCATCACCTTGAAGAGATGATGTACAGGGTTAATCTACGAAGATCACATCTACTTCAACTCATTGATAAATTCCGTCAAGTCCTCATCACTTGTCAGTATCCAGATGACTCTATTACACTGTCTACCCATACCAAGTGATAATATGTGATTTAGCATTAGCTTTTAGATTATTGTAAATAAAGAAAATGTAATTATTATATATGCTTCAAAAATAGAAAACTATATTTTCTGATATTTCTTGTTCACTCATCTCAAACAGAAAAGCTTTTTGTGATGTAGATGCCAGATAGCAGTGACGTACATCTAAGTGTAAACTCTACGTATAATTGATGTATTTCAACATGCTCATCAGTGATTTCTTAATATTAACAAGCCCAGGACATAAAAAACATTTCTGTGATCTTTAAAAGTACACTAAAATCACTAAGTCAATTAATTTGAAACTAATGAATCACAGTCTCATTTAGAATGCAGTTAAATAATCCCCAAAATAGGTGATATGATATGTAAGATTGGCTCAGTGTACAATATGCTATTTGAAGATGTTTTCTGCTTATACAGTTGTTCTGTAACACAATATGTATTAAGGTGGCAATGGAGATGAAATGGATAAAAACAATACAAAGCTTCTCACTGAAAAATAAAAAAACAAGAAAAGCACAAGCAAAAATTTCTCCAATTATCCATTTGTTTTAAGACAAATTAAGATATTAGTCTGCCAGTACAGTATTATCCATTTATTTATACAGGGCATCTGATATGCAATGAGTGGCTCTTGGATCTCCATTGCTTTCTATATTAGTAAAGTACAGTAAATTCAATACATAATCCATAACTTTATCCTTATCTTTATATATATATATATATATATATATATATATATATATATATATATATATATATATATATATATATATATATATATATATATATATATATATATATATATATATATATATATATATATATTGCTCACCACGAAGAATATCTTTCAGATACTTGTGGCACTTGTTCTTTAATTCTCTGTATGCCATCTTTTACATTATCAACATTATCCTTGACAACACTGCCTGTCCCTAAAATTTCTTCTTCCTTCAGTCCTCCCTCTGGCAAGCGCCACAATTTTTTGCAATAAAAGAATTCATCTTAGGTAGCTACTTCCTAGTTTACTACTGTATTTTACTGTTACAGGCTTATGTTCCACTAGCAAATATATATATATATATATATATATATATATATATATATATATATATATATATATATATATATATATATATATATATATATATGATCTCCCATCGTGTAATTCACATCTTCAGAGTACAGAGTCACTTGTTATCAACATATACCTAGATCGCGCACCTACAGTGATTTACTTGCATATATATATATATATATATATATATATATATATATATATATATATATATATATATATATATATATATATATATATATATATATATATATATATATATATATATATATATATAGATTTATTTTTTTTTTTTTATAGAGATGGAAAGATTTATTTTGCTTTTATCTTCATTATTGTGTTTCTTTAGTGTTTATCACTAAAAGTTGTTAAAATGGTCAGTGGTCAAAATCCACAGGGAAGAATATAGGGTGTGGCCACCCCTCATGTACTAATGGGAACAAAACATCAGAGAATATAAGTTTTATAGATGATAGCTTCTTTTTTACAAAATAATGTCTCATTTAAAAAGAAATAAATGTTTTCCTTTGTGTTAAAATAACGAAACCTACACACCTTTGTAACATGATATTTAGAGGGAATTCACTGCCTCTGCTGTATACTGTATAGGATTTTTTCTTAATAGATATACAGTATTGTACAGTATAGTACTGTGTAATATTGCTGAGAATATAAAGGTTTCCTAGATTTTGTATTGGTGCTCTTAATATATTCAAAGCTTTCATGAGTAAATCTCTGGCAATTGAAAGTTTCACTGTGGCACTCACCATTCAATACAGGTACTGTATTGGGATTCCCTCACACGCTTTGGCCAGATCTACAAATAATAATGCCAACTCCAACTAGTCACTGCTATCATGTACAGCAGCAGTTCTCAACCTCAGGTCATGACCCAAATCCGGGTTGTGGGGAGTCCTCAGCAGGGTCGCAAGGGGAACGATTTCTGAGAAAAATTCAATTCCGGCTATCAGAGAGTTCCGGGTTTGAGGGATTCCATCTAGCAGAGATATTATACTGTATTTCCCATTTTCTGGTGAACCCAAGCAATTTGTAATGTAACCAAGTACTGTACATAGTTCAGTTCCAGTGCTTACATTCTCAGTACTGTATAATGATAAACATTTGTGAATTATCTGTTTTGTGTATTTTAGTTTGTCTCCCATTATTTTCTTTTACTTTACAGTCTTTGTATGATCTGATTCTAATATCTAAAGCCTTGGGAGATTCTGTTACATATACAGTACCTACTCATTACTGTTGGTGCTAATTTTTGGTGAGCTAAACAAAGTATGTACACGATTATAAATGTATATGGGCCCTGTGATAAAGATGAGAAAGAAAGACAACAAGTGAATTTTATTTCTATGAACTTAATTTGTTTATTTTTATTATTATTATTATTATTATTTTATTGTTATTATCATTATTATTATTTTTATTTCAGCTGCCAAGAATTCTCAATGTTAAACATGTCTTTGAGTGTCATCCATTTTGCTTTTCAAGTTTTGCAAATTTGTCTTTGGGGTATCCAATTTTTACAGTTATTTTCTATGTTTGTTTGAGTTAGCCATGATTACCTGATGGCAGCTCTCCATGCTGCTTGATCTTTTACAGTCTCTATTGTCAGGTTCCTAACTCAAACATCATTTGTTACAGGCTCTTCTCGTGTCATTCTTCACCTACCCCTTGCTCTCCTCCCCCTTCACATTTAGGCTCGTGTACCTCTTGACCCAATTACTCATCCATTCTTTCCACATGCCTAAACCATCTCAACCAGCTCTAAGCAGAATTTGCCAATATTTTCACTACCCAGCAGCACTGAGCATGTATTCAATAACCCAGTGATGTCATTTTGGAGGGAAGTGGTGTTGTACAGTATAGTAGTAGCGTGTCCATGTATTGAGTTGTAATATAAATGAGTTTCAGGGAAATTGGACAGTGCCCAAATTGTACACTGTTTAGACTGCAACCAATAAACTCTGATTGCATAACACACACAACAGAATGTCAACATTACATATGGTAAATTACTTCTACACTACATTATGTCTTCCCTTCACTCAGTACAATCTACACTATACAGTACACAGTATAGTAAGTTCTATATGCTACATTGTCTCCACTTCACATAATACACTCAACATATTATTTTTTACAAAATTGTTGCATTAAATGTTCCATTGACTTTTATTGATAAATAAAATTACATTTACAGCACTTACAAAATTTCCACAGATTGGCAACATTGTTCTACTTAATGAATCAATGAAACAGTTTTCATCTTAATATTTTGATGGACTGTGAATTATAATGAGACTTGAGGTGAAAACCATGAAGGTGGTTGACAAGTTTAACTGTTCAGGCTGAAGTTATGAAGTGAACATTTGCCTCACCTTCTGTTATGTAAACATAAAACAAATGTTTACCTGGTGTGTGTTAGGCAGAGGTGCAGTGTTGACGTCACCAGTCTGTCCTTTTTCTTCCACCATCCTACTTTCTTACTGTTTCTTCATTTGTCTTCTTTGCATCCTGAGGTGAAGTGACATTAAAATACTACCCATCTGTGTTGACTACAACACAACACAGACACCAGGACATATCCTGTAAATTTGTGTTTGTAGAACTGATCCCTAAAGCTGAACATTTAACAAGCCTGGGTTTGTCTCAGCACCTGAGGTTGGCACCGTTATGTTTCTGGTACTGGCGGGGCAGGTGTTAGTACAGGTACGGGTAACTATAGGGTGGCACTCAGAGTTCATAATTTGCTATTAAACTCCCTTTAGGTGTTCTTTATATTTTGGTTGCTATTTAATTCTTGACTGGTAATGACTTCTCACCTTGTAAAACAATACAATATTAGATGCAGAATTTATCTGTTCCTCAAACAGGCTGTTTTAGGAATCAAATACTGTACTGTACATGTACTGCAACTAAAACAATCTTTCTTAAGATAAAAATAGTCTCAGTGTGAAAGGTTCTCATATTCGACTAACCAGTCACTTAGTGTAAACTTAAGGCTAAACTAAACCAAATTTTACTCAGTTGTATACCGTACATGTTTGTCACTAATGGTTAAGTCAATGATATAGGAAAATATAGTTGTCATAACTTTTACTTTTATCCTCTTCGCCACTGATCGGCTTGTTAGCCTCCTGGGCGATCGGTCACGTCTCTGTCACGCACTGTTGGCAAATACTGGGCACGCTCCGGCTCCTGAATGTACCTGAACCCGCTCCAGTGTTGGTCAAGTCTTGTCTTGAAAGAGCTCACACTCGGTGCCGTCACAACACTCTCTGGAAGATTGTTCCAAGAGTTTATAACCCTCACTCAGAAAAAGTTTGCCCTCACAGTTTTCTGGACTTGCGGCTTCTTCAATCTTGAGCTGTGACCATTTGTGGGGCGAGCGTCTGCCAGCTCCAAGTAAGGACACTCAACTGAGTAGTGCCCTCTGAGATGCTTATACACCTCAACTAGTTCCACCCTTGCCTGTCTGTAGTATAAGCTAGGCAAGTTCAGGCTCTCCAATCTCTCAGGGTAGCTGAGGTACCGAAGTGCAGGCACCAGTCTGATGGCCCTCCTTTGAACATTTTCAACCAACTGACAGTCCCTAGCATATCTCGGGGACCAGATGGGGTGACAGTACTCCAGATGGGGAAGCACTTCACTCCTGAAGATTGTTACGAGGGACGGACCATCTAGATATCTGAACGACCTTCTTATAAGACCCAATAATTTTTTTGCCTGATTTACCTTCTTTTCACAATGGCCCGAGAACTTCAGCTCATTGTCAACATACACACCTAGGTCCTTCTCACATACAGTCTCAACTAGTGCAGTTTCTTAAGCTGCTAAAACCTATCAAACCCATTTCATGTAAACCTAAGATTAAAATTAATGATACGTAGTAGGCAGCTATCAAACAGGGAGGTACTACTGCTTGGGAATATATTGGAAGCATAGGGTGTTGTCTAATGGTAGACCCTGCTGCCATATGGCATCACAAAAATTGTGACCAAGTCCCAGGTTGGTGATCTGACTTTCTGCCTCATTTACACAAAATTGCAGGGTCCTAATCGTTTCTCTTACTATAGACAACACAACATATACATTGTATCGTTTCTCACTATTTTTTTTGTTCGTTATCAATATTATTATTATAATATTTTTTTTATAATTGTTTTTGTTTTATTATTATTATTATTATTATTATTATTATTATTATTATTACTATATGTACTATCATTTTTGCCTCCAGGCCCTGATGTGGGTCATTCTGTCCTGGGTGGGCTAATCCCCATTAAAAACAAAAAACAAAAATAAAATGGTAAGACATCAGCTCTACACGTGGAGAATTTTTTCAATGCTTATGGTGGCGGCACACTGGGCAGTTTCTTCCAAACATGTTTGGCAAACACGGTCTGGCCAGCAAAACAAAGAGACGTTTTGCATCATACTGGGATGTTTTATTGGCGCATCTACCCAACACAACGAAAATAACAACAAAGCATTTAGATGAGGTTTGCCATGGATCCTGTTACTACAGTTGAGGCCTTGCAGGATTGTTATAGTTCTTCAATTGCTGAAGCAAGTGAGGCATCTGCAAAGGCTAAAGAAAAAACAATGGGTGTGTCGTGACTTTGATT